ACTGTTACAAATTTTAAAATGATTTGTGGATATGATTGTAATTTTGCCTTCAACTCTCACGATCGCTGGAAGTGCCCCGGGAAATAAAAATCAATGTTAATGGTACCAAATCAAAATCAAAATAAAAATCAAATGTCTTTATTCAACATCATCGAAACACTACCACCGGTTCGGAAAAAAAAGCCACTGTACTGAGAAGAACCGGCGAAAGAAACTCAGCGGGCTTTTTTTTTATTTTATTTTTTTTAAATAAGCAGTTTGACATGAATTCATTAAAAATACAATATAAGGACTCTGATTGAAAGAGCCTGGAGCGATCAGTTCATTACCAGAGTATGTTATCATTTAAATAATCATTAATATTATAGTAGCCTTTAACACACAAACGTTCTTTTAGTATTTTTTTTAAATTTAGCTATAGATGCATTTTGAACGTTTTCTGAAATTTCGTTGTATAAGTTTGTGTACTAGTATTTAGTATTAGTATTTTTAGTATGAAATGAGTTCGGTATCAAGTGTCATTGACCATTGCGAACTACAAAGACCTGTTGTAGTCTTAACTTGAAACACATTGCCTACTTACTGTAGAATAGTGTTATCCTGTGTTTAAAGGACGATTTACATACGTAAATTTCACGTAGACCAATATAGTATAATATGGTAATACCCAGATCCGAAAGAATTATTTGTGAGTCACACAAATAATTGCCTTATGAAGCCATGGCAAAAGCGCCAAGGCTTCATCAAACTTTTACTAAATAACTCTCTAAATTCCAATATAAAGTGAACTGTATTTCGGAATTTAAAGAGTTAAGGTGTTCTAAAAACGTATTAATGATACTTGAATGTAAAATTGTGAAGGTGTATTATTGTATATTGATAAAATACTTATTGAAGAGCGGGTAGTCCATTGCAGTTGCTACACTCCGTACGTAGAAATTAAAATGTAACATTTTTGTAGCAAAATTGCCGAAAAATATTTAAAAAAATTAAATATTTATTTTTTTCACTTTCACATTTTATCTTGAGCGCAGAAACTGTCTCTAGAAGTAAAATTTTGAATTATAAACATCAACTTACTTAGAATTTATTACGAAAGTAAATAAATGAGTTTAGACATGTTTCGTAAGAGGGCATTCGACAGTCCATTTATGTTTTCATACGTGTTCGTGAAAAACAAAAGAGCAAAAACCTTTTCTGGTTGTTTATTGAAATAAATATTAAAAGCACAACGCTTTGAATGTCGAACGCGATTGCTGGAAAGTCAATAAACAATACGAAATACGAATAAAATGGAGCAATGAAAATGCTCAATTACCTACGCTCACATACGCTTTTTACGACGTCAAAGTTGGAATAAATGACGTCATGCTGCGTACCAACATGAAAGCGCCTATGCGAAGGGCTTTCGATAAGCTTTACGTTTTCTACAAATATGACATTGAAGTGGTCGACATTGACCTGATTGGCGTAGCGAATAATAGTAAACTGTCTTTTACGCCAGAGAGTGTGGATTCGATCTCCACACTAAAAATATTGAGTTATATTAATATTTTTCTAATGCCTTGGGGTTTATATAAGATGTATTTATTTAGAAAGGAAAACTTTGTTAAAGTACGTTTGTCAGTTTCCTAGTAGCTGTATAACAAGTTTTGCTTTGTTTGGGACTAGATAAAGTTGTGAAATAATATGTCCTGAAATATTTATTTATTTATATAGCTTTAAATATAATAGATTCATTTTAAATTCATAACTAGTGGTATGTTAATTATATTCTTGGTCTAAGATAATATTTGCCTTATAAAATCTTTAACTCCTTGAATCTTATCCTTTAAACGAGCAATTCTTGTACATATATATAATCGGAATATCGGAAACGGCTCCAGCGATTTTCATGAAATTTAGTATGTGCGTAGATTCGGGGGCGAAAAATCGATCTAGCTAGGTTTCACTTTTAGGAAATGTCCTTTTATCCCTGTTTTCAGGGAATGAAAAATATCATTCGAATATGAGGGTAAATTTCGCCGCAAAAAATTGTTATAATAGCTCGGAAGGTAATCGGGCGGCCCCAAAATAGACGGCCGCAGTTCGTATCACGATCATTTACACACTATTTTTTTTTACTTTTTTTTTCTATACTAGATCATTTTCTTTTATTTAAAAGGCAAAAATAAAAAATTGCAGTAATAACTCAATGTCCGGGCGCTCACTTTTAATTCAGAATACCTAAGGTGAAATCCCGCCGGCACCTATGAAATTGTTGATTGCAATTTAACTGCTGAATTGTCACGTGCTCATTGGCGCAGGAAAACACTGCGAGGATACCTGCATATTTTGGAAAAAAAATTGCCCCAAGACCCTCCGTACAAAGCAGGCCTTTGCACAGCAGTGGGACATAATCATACTGGTTGTTACTTAGACTTACTTATTCAGAAGAGCAATGAAACTATCTTCCATGTAGTGGCTTGTAAAGTCGAAGATTGTAATTCATAGTCTATCATATCTAAGTAAAAGTTAATGTATGAAAATAACGTATTAAAATTTTAAGCTAAAGTCGATAGCACTGTTTTTAGAACCCAATTAAAAACTGTTAGATAAAGGTTAAAAATGAAGATTGAAAATTGTGGTTAAATTAATTATTCCGCTTTTTTCTATTATGTGAAATACGCTAATCAGCAGTGGGGTCGCGTGGTGGACTATGCCCTGATACACTCTTTACAGAGGTGGCCTTTGCCCAGCAGTGGGACATTTAGTTAGTTTATTTTTTTTTTACTTTTTCTTGCCACGCTATGCCGACCTTCAACTGCAGGCGAGCAAACCTCGCACCTAGAACGGACAAGGTTTATTTCTTGAAATATAGAAATGAATATTCAATCTAGAAATCGTTTTCACTCCTCTTTATTTCCTGACCCAATTTATCAAAGTGTCCCAAAATATCACACTACTAATAAATATCGTAGTAGTCTTTGATAATGTAACTTTTCGTCTTGAATAAATTTAATGAATAAATTTAAAATACCATAAAGTATTTTAAATTTATTGCAACTGCCACTGGGATTTTTCTTTATTTTCTTTGTCATGCCATCTTAATAGTGATTGTGATTACGATGTCAAACAATAATAGTATCACGACAATGATTAAAAATTATGATAAGTCTTATAGTGTAAAAACATCGTAAAAACTCTTATAGTGTATAAAATGTATGCTGAAGAAACTACGAACATACATTTGATAAATATAAAAGGAATCAATACAATAAACGCTTATACGACGCATATATTGCGTTTTGTTTTGATCTTCTAACTTTGCTCAGGAGATTCCTTATTTCCAGTATTTTTGCATTTGACGCCTTTAGGGGAGTTGCTGTTCTACAAAATATTCCACTTTTATGGAATGATATCAATGTATTCGCCATTTTTATTTAATCAATGATATTTTGTTTAGGCTCTATCAATGACATTTTGTTTATATTCTATCAATGAGGTACTCGTAGCATTTTGTGTTTTTGACAATGCTTATTAGTATATGACTGATTGAGTTACAATATTATTTACACCGTTTCTAGGCTGTAGGACTATATAGCCTCCTCAAGTTGGATTCCTACCTTGAATATTACATTGAAAAAAATTCCCAATAATTAGTCGAGTCTTTTTGATGAGTTTCTTTGACAGATCCTTTTAATTTTGCTTATCCTGTTTGTGTTTGGTGATCACTTTTACTGTATTTCTGGAGAATACAACCAAATCATTTATTCATCGAAGTAAGAAATATACTTACATTTCATCTGTCGATAGTCATTTTTTAAATCTACCTCCGTTTCGTAATGAGGTTCCTTTAACGAAGAAGAAACAGGAGTAAGAAACTCCGCAGGTATCCTCTTTTTACTCATTTTTTTTTCATCAATCGATTATATTGTTATACAATACAATTTTTATATTTATGTCTAGAAACAGCTTAGGAGCGATCATCGCATTCCCAGGGGTTGTTATCTTTAATGTTTTCATTTATATTATAATCAAAATTTTAAAAAGTTTTCTTTTAATAAATTTCTTAAGCCTGTTAATAGACAATTTTAACTGTGGTGCCACGCAACAGTGTTCTCTCTTGCACGAATGGACAGGTCCGTCCTTGTTAGTACCACGACCTCACAGAAGACCGGCATGAAGTAGAGGTGTTACACTTCAGTGTCGTCTGGTGAGTGAGGTAGCCACGGCCCACTTTATTAGAACTGGCAACGCATCTGCAACGCTACCCAAATAAAAAGAGAGAAAAGTGAGGTGAGAGGAGAGGTGTTTATTAACGAAATGATACATACTTTATTTTCTATCGTTTAAAATTACACATAATGGATACAAAACTATGTTATCACTTTGTCATACACTGTGTTTATCTTCTAATTTCAATAACTAATTAGCTATTTAACATAATCGATAATAGAACGTGAAATTGAAAACATGACACAATGTCTACTCGTATACAGCGTGTCGTTACCACCGCGACAATAAATGAACACACGTCTAACGCTACTTGCCAATAATCATAAAAAAAATATTAACGTTAAACAAAATCCATAATTAAAAAAAATATTTTTCAAACAAACTGAAATATAAGTTAAAAAAGTTAAAAAGAAACAAAATTTGTAACATACTATATAACTCGTGCCACAGCGTCGCATTACAAGCCTCTCCTTCTAACAGTATGTTTTGTCTCTTTTAAATTCATTCAACCCATTCTATGTGACCTTTACAAATGAACTTTACGTTACAGTTTTATACGTAAGGGTGTTCTAAAATTGTTTGTTTTGGAAAATTTAATAACTCTGTAAATATTGATGTTTAAAGAATGTAAATGTTTAATACAATTTTAAAAAGTTATCCTCTATATGTGTTTTCATTTATTGTCGCGGTGGTAACGACACGCTGTATAACAAATATATATGTAAGTAAAAACCAAAGGTGCTACTAGTTCATAGTACAGTATTGTAATAATGATGACGTCATTTATTCGTTTCCCTCGGCAAGAGCTGGAAGACGGCGCTGGTATCTCGAAGGGCAAAAAAGCTCTGCTCGAAGTACTTCGGTTTGTAACTTTTCTGCTTCAGGGTGTAACGTCTGAGCAGACACGCTATGCCGACCTTCAACTGCAGGCGAGCAAACCTCGCACCTAGAACGGACAAGGTTTATTTATTTTAATATAGAAATGAATATTCAATAATCAATAAAAATCAATATTTCTTTAATTCTTATCATTTTGTAAAGGCTTTATTATTATTATTATCTTTTAAATATTTCAGGACACATTTTCACATAACGTTCTCTAGTTCCGAACGGTATAACACTTGTACTATAGGAACTGGATAACTGATAAATATAATTAAACATAATTATCTTTTGTTAATATATTCATGTTATAGATACATAATGATGGCTCCGTTGCGCTGTTGCCAAGTTATTGGCTTTGTTATTACTGATACATACATTAAAACATAATTTTGTGTTGTTAATATATACATGTTCTAGATACATAATGATGACCCTGTGGTGCAGTTGCTATTGGATTTGGCGTAGGGGTTCGTGGGTTCGATTGCCACACGGGACAGCTATTTGTGTGACCCACGGATAGTTGTTCCGCATCTGGGTATTTGTCCGCGTGTAATTTATGTTTGTAAAACGTCCATACAACGCACGATAACGTTATCCTAAAGGCAACGTTTAAAAGAAAAAGATAAATAAATATATAAATGAATCAACTGCGATTCTGGAAAAACACCATGTTCAAAACGCATTATCTTTCCAGTAGTGAGTATCGAACCCACACACTCTGGCGCATTAGATAGGTTCACTAGACTACACTACGCCAATTGGATAGTCAAATTTTCATTTATAATTAAATGAAGCTGTTTTACGGATTTTGTCGCATTTCATTTTGTTTTTAAATTTCCGACGTTTCGAACACTAGAGCGTTTATGCTCACGTGATAGATCAAATGAATTGTGTGTAATGAGTGTATCTTATTCGCATAAACATAAGAAACAAATAGCTTTTATTTATTAGCATAATCTGAAAATTTTAAAAGTTAAAATTTGTAGAAAAATGGACGAAAGGTTTTTCACCGCCGAGGTAATCGAATTACTCATCTCAACGGTAAAAATTTGTTCTTGTAATTAAAACTTAATAGAAAAAAATTAAAGTACTAAAAATTCCGTTTGGCTTAAGTGCTAAACCTACCCGGTGGTAGAGAATTTTTATTATTATTATTTACTTCAACGGAATTTATTATCGTTTGAATATTAGGAATTAAATATCATTTGAAGCCCTATTTTGAGGGTGACAAGTTTTCATTTAGATCGCATAAATCTTTGAAATATGATCCACTGCTCTATTAGATGCTGCTCTAATCATATTATTGACGCGAAAAAGATTGACCGATGCAAATAAAATCATAAATACTATAGCTTATTTATAAAGGTGATTGTCAGTAAAATCAATTAGCTCATCATGATGTAATGATGAAGTGGATAGGGAATTAATATGTTCGAAATTTACAGTGGTGATACGTTACATTTCACAAAAGAAATATTTCATCATCACCACCAGGCTAATTCGCTAGTAATTATGCCATAAAGACTTTCATGGCATCATAAATGATCTTCAATCAATTAAATGATATTGACATTACATTTGAATATATTTTTTATTATTGATTAAATAGAAAATAATAATTCGTGTATCTCTTGAAAACTCAAAAACTCCTACCACTAATTGATTTTTTACTGCAAATGCAACAAGAAGACACTTACCGAGACATATACGATTTCCTTCACCAAACGGCAAGTAGCTGAACTTTGGGATTTTCGAAATGTTTTTCGGTGAGAATCTCTCTGGATCAAATACCTCTGGATTAGGGTAATACCTCTCGTCTCTATGTATCGCGTAAATAGGGATCACTGCTATGACGTCTTTCTCCATCTTCACTTGTCCGCATGGTAGAACTGTGTCCCTAGTGCATCTCCGTTGAACGGCCCCTACCGTGGGATATTTACGAATAGCTTCGTTCATAACCATATCGAGGTATTTCAGCTCTTCGATGTCGTTGAAAGTAACGGCCTCGCTGCACTTCTCGAACGCTGCATCGATTTCCTTGTGCAGCTTCTGCAATATATCAGGATTTGCAGAGAGCTCTAGAAGCAAGAAATGCATCGTGTGCGCTGATGAATCCGCGCCTGCGATAAAGAAGAAAAACGCCTGTGCCGCCATCAATTCATCTGTAGGCTCCATTTCGTAGCCAGTTACTGGATCCTGCATTACTCCTTCCTGCTGCAGCTCTAAACAGGTATCAATGAAATCGTGCCTCTTCTCGTGGACAGCACGTCGGTCTTCCAACACCTTTTTCACCACAGCGAAAAATTCCTCGTGATCTCCAAACGCCGTTAGTTTCATCAGTTGAAACAGTTTCGGAAACGCTTTAGATATCGTTAATTTAAGATTATTAGCAAAAGACGGTTCCAAGGCCCTCCACGCTATGTCTACAAATGGTGAATCCATCGTGCTATTCGCATTAGTATCAATCCCAAATACCGAAGCAGCGATGGACGCAGTCGTATATGTGTACAGAGCCGTGAAGGGTTTCTCTTTAACTTTAAGTGGATTCTCGTCGACAAACTTTACGAAGTCCCGAGCGCATTGCTCCATTATGTAGAACATGTTCTTCAGCTTCATGGATGTGAACACAGGTGTCATTTTGTGCCTCATTAATCTCCATCGCTTGTAATCATCCATTAATAAGAGGTTGTCCGCCAGAAGATCGGTCTCGTTCCTAAGAATACCACGGCTATAGAAACTTTTGAAGTCACCTAGCAGAATCGCTTGCAAGTTCTCCAGGTTCCTTATCAGCAGAGCCGGCTTGTTGCCAACGTATACACCAATATTGTCATCGTTTGGATGTCCGTCGTAGATGTCCTTATAAATTTCAGGAAAAGATTTCTTTCCCGTGAGTACGAACCGCCAGATAATTCCATACACTTCGGGGATGTTTCTCTTTCGCCAATAGTTATTATCTTTGGCGATGTATTGCAGAATTATTAATACAACTGCACTTAAAAGAAACAGTAGTATGTACATACTTCCGTGTTAGAAACTATTAAATAATTGACACAGGCAATGTTCAATAAGGATTAAGCCCAATTGACGTGTTGCGATTATTACAGTCCTCGAACAGGCACATACATTATTATGTATCAAACACAACTGTGCACACACTGTTGAGTTGTCGGAAAGTAATTGATGTCATTATTTTTACTGCGCAATCTATACATATAATAAAAATATAATTGATCATTGTCTGTACATGGAAGAAATTTGAGAAAAACTATTATTGCAGACATTTTTCAACCTAAAACAATGATTGTTAAAATGTTTGTCTGTTTGTCTGTGCATTTTTGCGCCCTGATCTCAGAAACGGCTCAACCGATTTGAGTGAAACTTTCACTAATGCATTATAGTTTTATTTAAATCAGTTCATAAATAAAAAAATTTATATCAACTTAAAGAACCACATTGAAGATGTGTGCATTAAAATGATATATAATAGCTACAGTTGAAATTGATGAAACTATAGTTAACTATATATTATGGTCAGTAAAATGAGCATTGTAAATTTTTTTTATATAAAGTTAAAAAAACGGCCAAGTGCGAGTCGGACTCGCACACGAAGGTTTAGGAAGGTAGGAACTTTTAATGCACTATATGAAATGTAGTACATGAGGGCGGAGCCACGGGCGAAAAGATAGTGTATAATATCTCTACGCAGTTGTGAAAGTTAGGATATTATAGTCGCTACAAAGAGGCCGTTACTTTGTGTTAATATCATATCATAATGCCATGGAATTTATTAAATAGTTGCCTATTTTTTTGCGACCTAGTTACCTATCTGATAGTGAGTTTAACAGAATAACTTGGCCTTTTAGTATTTTTTTTACCTACTCGGAATAAGGATGAACGCTTCAAAGCAACGTAGTTTTGTAGCAATATCATCATAATACGGCGAATCGAGAAATATTTGATTTTATGACTCCAACATACAACTATACGCGACTAGAAGCAAAGCTCGTTTCGAACCGTGTGATGCCACGAATACATTAGTATCCTGTATCGGGGTCTCGGTCCGCACCGCAACCTCGATGGCCCTACCCACAGCGGAGGGCCCAAACCCGTGGGTTCTGGCTAGCCCGTTCTGCGTCAGATGAAGCTTTAATAGTCGCGGGACTGAAAGCAAAAACATCAGTTAATACAAGATACAAGACACGAAACGCGGAAATATAACACTCCCACTTCACGCCGGTCTTGTATTAGGTCGTGTTACTTAACCGAACGGACCTGCCCATTCGGCATTCATCTTTCTATTGAGTCCTTTGTACAGTGTTCTGTTTTCACTTTTGATATTATATTTTTATTATAATGTAAGGTAATGATATAAACTACATATTTCGAAGGAGAAAGATGACATTCAAATTGTTCAAATCGGAATTTTTTGAGGATTTCTTAAACGTATATAATGTTGTTTTCGATTTAAAGGTGAACGGCAAATTTTAAGCTTAAAGCATTCTTAGCCCGTACAACATTAGAATGTCAGAGAAATTAGAATGTCCTTGTTTGAAACATCATTATAAATCGATTCTAAATAATTCGAAAATAAAAAACTTTATATTTTTATAACGTAATTGTTTTCTAACCTAAAGTTGCAGGAGCAGTTGGAGTAGATCTTTGAATACCTCCTAACAATATAACAGATACGCCTAAATGACAGCTTCCTACAGATTCTGTCTCCCTATCGATACGCCGCACAATTCACCCCTTCTTTAACAGCTTTCGATGACCTTTTACTATACTGTCAACTTTGCAAAGACGAATAAGAATCAAAGTACTAAATACACAATGATATAAGATGTGAGGTTTTTTTCTTTCTGTCTTAAATTATTAAATAAAAATTATAAAAAACAAAAAATTGTACAATACGTGCAACATTCTTCACTGTTGCACGACCTGACAAAAGACCAGCGTGAAGTGAATGTGTTATACTTCTGCGTTTCTTCTGTTAAAGTGGCAAAGCATGTGCAAATCTAAGGGTGTTGCAAATTTCAATGGGCGGTGGTTATCGTTTAACTACAGGTGAACCGCCAGCTCGGTTGCAACCTTCTTCCGAAAAAGAGCAAACATTTATGATTTCGATTTTCGTCTCTTCATATTTCCGTGAACGCCGCAAAGTACTCAAAAAATTGACAGTTTTTGACAATTGAAGGTTGTGGAATCAAACACAATTGCAATGTAAGACTGTCTCTAAGTACACTATCGAATTTGAAAATGGCAACTTTATAGGACGATCATTTGAAGTTGTTTTTGCAACACATTCTATATACATAGACTCTATTAGACAACAATTTAGGATTGTAAATTGTGTACAGCAAAATGAAGCCATTTTCAAGTTTAATATTGTATTTGGGGACAGTTGATTAAAAATATCGACACAGAAACAGTTGGAGGTTTTCGACATTTTACGCGCAAACTCTTTCGAACGCCAACTTAACGTGCAAACTAGACTATAGTTGGAAGTGCATCTTTGTTGGCGATGCAAAGGCCTTTGTGACGTCACGTTGGTGGCACCTCTTAGCCAGTCCAGCCTTTGTGTCTCGGGTCCAATATAAGGATTATTGCTGATAGAACTCTCAATAGCCTCACAGTATTTGTCAGGTACCTACTAAGAAACGAAGCCGTTTTGGAGGGCGCACTTCTGGAAATTTTGGAAAGGAATCTATATCGATTGATAAAACTGGTTAGGAGTGGAAACTGTTTCGGCAAATAGATTTAGCATTTATACCGTTGTCTTGGCAGCTGATAAGACGTTAAAGTTAGTAGGTAAACTGACAATTTTTGTGGTTTAAAATTGTTAAAAGTACTTAAAACTTTTTCGTTTTTCTTTGGTTTGTTACATTTTCTTTTCGTGATACATTCAAAGCAGAGGCAAGTAAGCAGTTTCTATGAAAATGCGCTGTAAATATGTATAGACATTAATGATTAAAAAGGTTGTAAACAGACTTTTGATTTTTCGTCAAAGAAGATAACGGTTATTTTTGTAGGCTTAATTTTGTTTTCCTCAAATAGTCACTAAGCATATACTTCTCGATGCCAAATGAAACGAAAACAAGAACGTACGGCAATGGCATTGTATTTTATTGTTGAATGTGGGTACCAATAAATATGGTACCTACCCTATTGGATATAAATCTGCCTTTTGTATTTATTGCACAAATTGATTTGCGAATAATTGAACTATAATTTAATTAAAAACTAGGAATCATACTACATAATTTTTTTTTTTAACTCATCATCTCGGATTTCAAATTAACGTCTAGTAATTAGGTCATAGCTTTAGCATAGTCAGATTACTGGTAAATTTATTTATAATGTAATTAATTTGTCAAAAGATAAAGTGTATGCGAGAAGGTAGAATGCTGACTTGCGAAGATATGCTCTTGTGAACCTATGCGAAGCATTAGAATTTTAACACAATTTTAGAATATTAACGATGTCATAAAAATCTAACATAGATGCTTTAAATTAGAATGGATGACGTTGCTTTATTAGTAATATCAAAAAATTATAAAAACACAGTTCACTAATGTTAATTTCTGAATGGCGTGATCGAAATAATTGCGACATTGTGTTTCGTAAACGTAATACAAAGGCCCACCACTTTTAGCAGCTTCGCTGTTGAGAGCGGAGCTTTCTGCCGCCATTTTGATACGCGAGACTGAACCTTTCATTATTTAAGGACATAATTACTTCGGTTAAAGCAATTTCGTTCATAAATCGCATAGATGGAATCGCCTGTTACAATATATAGGCTAACACGCTGTTTATGTACTTAGCACGGGTTGATTGATTGATTCAATGTTCTTTATTGCACACACCATGATAAAAATATATATTAAAAATAACAATTACGTAAGGGTTGTACAATAGGCGGCCTCATTACAGGTTGTTTCTGAACTACTTTTTTGCCGGCTGCTTGGAGAACAGTCAATGACTTACTAAGTTTCGATAAACTATGTGTATCGATGAAATATTGTATTTTCCCCTCAAAGTACAAATGTAAGTTTTGTTGAATAAATCCATACTAATATTATAAATGCGAAAGGATTTTGTCTGTCTGTCTCGCTTTCACACCAAAACTACTGAATCGATTTAAAAATTAAAAATGAAATGTACTACACAGATCGTCTAGAGCCTGAGAAAGGACATAGTGTTGTAAAGGGGTGATAATTCTTAATATTTATTTAAGGGCGTCAACGCGAGCGAAGCCACGGGCGAAAAACTAGTTAACATATAAATTTATTTTATTACGCACTAAGGAAAAAAACATTTGAAATTAAAGAATACTACTGGGTGCTCTAAGAATTAAATCAGTTTCTAGGCAAGGTTCAGTTTATAGGCAATATTTTTAAGTCCGAAAAATCATAACAATTTCTATCTCTATCATGTCGCTGTATTTTTTGCACCATAATCTCATTATTTGATCTCACAACCATTTTCTTCTTGTCATAATTACGTTTATTCATCAATAAGACTTAACAGTATTAGATTTTTAGTGCTGATCTCTGCACTTAAGATGAAACAAAATTAGAATTTTTGTAAACGAAATGGCCAAAAACTTTTGACGCAGCGGATTTTGATGCTAAGTCTTCTAGGTAACGTGTCGAGAGGCTTTACTTACTAATATAAGAAGCCAATGACCTCAGAGTATGAAATATATATCGACAGCTGTATATGTTATTCGACACGTTTCTGTTCTGATGTTGTGTACATCATATAACTATCGATTCTAACGAAACTCACCCAATCACATGTTCACATCGTTGACTATTATGTAAATATGTATACTATTACGTAAATAAAAATAGACAACTAAAATATATACATAAATGTGTACATAAAGAAAACTATCAACATTATTACCAAGTCTAGAGGTTAGGAGCGGACGGAGTTTGCGTGTTTATATTCTAGTGGCGTGTTGACATAAGTTATTCGAATTTTTGCATTTCGCTTAAAACTCCTCATCTCACGTT